CAGTCTACATCCCCCTGCAGCCACTCCAACCCAACCCAGCTCCACCCACCTATCACAACCCCCTCCACCCACCTCTGCCAATCCAGGGCAGTCTACATGCACCTGCAGCCATTCCAATTTATCTGAGTTCTCTTTTTCCCTGACTCCCTCGTTGACCTGTTGACATAACTCCTCGGCTTTCTCTAAGGCAGTACGGATAGTGGCATGATCAGGGTGTGTTTCCGCTGTATATTTCAGTATCTGTATTCCAGAATGAATAAAGGCACCAGGTAAGTTTCACTTCAAAACAAACCACACGCCATTTTTTCTTTTGTAGTTTCACATATTTTTCCATGGGGCAAACCTTATTGTGTTGCCCATGATCACTGGTAGAACCAATGTGTAATGGACACAGACTTGGTGACAAAACAAGAACATCCAACAAAAACTGAAAATAGACAATGAAAAATAAGGATGTCTAACTGACCTTTTTAATGAGTAGAGGATAGCGAGTGATGCGTTGCATGGGCTTAATGAGATAGCTGCTAACTGGCATACCTTTGACCCGGGGATCCTGAGCTAGTTTCTGATCAAAGAAAAAAAAAAGAGACTAATAAAATCATTGCTTTGCTCTGCCAATTTATCATTAACAGAAGAAACGTTGAAAGCTTTCAAAAGACTGAAACACAGATTCCCTTTTGCATCATGTTGATTTTCTTTAGAGTGGGGGGACGAGATGGGGACTTAAACTGCTCAGGAGAATCACGACAAGTGAAGTTTCACCTTAAACGTCTTCATGTAATGTACATGTAAATGAAGATTACCTTCTTTTAAAGAGGATGTTGCCATGGAAGATGACACATATAAAAATAAAACGGGGCTATAGGCCTGCCTGTCAGGGGTAATAGCATCTTATGACAAGCTCTGGCCCTTTGATAAAGCACTCTTCATGTCTTTAATTTCTGAAGTGCCTTAGGCACTCAGGCAGGCATCCTGAAGGAACCTGCATCACAATGATACACTCACTGCATCACAAATTCAAGATTTCTAACATTTTTCCCTGTTTACCTTGACATATTCTTTAAATTCTGGATCACTGTCAATTCTCTGCTGTAGCAAACTTGATGCATTCAACTGACAGCTACAGAAACGGATGTAAGCTGTCATACGAGGAAGCTAGAAAGAAATCAACAGGGATGGAGAAAAGGTCCTGTTCTGTAACTCCATTAAACCATACACACTCCACTCTTATCAAGTTTGTATGTGATAATTGAAATTAATCAGTGTTAAATCTGATTATTATCTGTTGAATCTCTTTAATTGTTCTGTTTAATTGTCATCCTCGATTTACCTGTTCACATAAAATATCTCCAATCATGTGTATCAGCTGGCCTTCACCAGACATCTTCTTACGAACTCGCAACGACCTGGTTTACAAGGATAAACACGAAAAAGAGAAATTACAAAACTACAAATAAAAACATTAAAGATAAAGAAAAGTCTCAGCAGCATTCTGATTGGTCAGATGGAACTCTGATGTTTGGATGCCAGTGTCAAGAGAAAGAACCGATATCTCTAGCGCTAATTATTATTCCTGGTAATCCAGTTACACTTTATGTGGCAAACTTTATTTAAAATAATTATCACAAGCTTTGGCAGAAATAAAAAGAAGAAAAGGCCTGTATTCTGGCACCATGGTTAAATGTTTAGAATCAGAGAATTACACCTGTTGTTAAACTTACATGTACATTGTCATGAGTAAGGCACACAAGCACTGACGACTTGTAGTATCGTAACATTAACGTCATGAGAAGATTAGTGAAACCAAACAGGTGACAGGGGTACCAACTTGGTTGCTTGATGGGTACATGGACTTACTTAAGTAGTTTGTTATTGCATTGTATGATTTCTCTCCAATTCACAAAGATCCGTGACATCTCTTGTACGTCTACCTTGCCTGAATCACTCAGAGGCTTCTGGAAAACCTAGTACGTACCAAAAAAGAGAGTTTGTCATTTCAGAGAACAAAATAGATAAAATGAAACTGATTGTAAAATCACTGATAGGAATGTCTTGCAGGAATTATGAAAGCATGTTCTGCGCAAGATGAAAAATTCTTGAAATATCAAGATCCAATTGGGTGATTCTGCGCAAGGTGTATTAAGCATCTATATTTTACTATTTGGATCCGCGGCCTGGTGGGGGGGGGATTTGATCCATTGTGACAAATCTACTTAAATGTCATTCCTTTCACTACAGCTACCAAAACCTGCAAAATCTAAGATCACTGAACAACATGTCACATCATTTTGGGGAATAAATTTACAAAATTGTACTGATAACTTCTTGAATGCTAACTTCAATAGCCAGGACTAGATCATCAACATAGGCCTGTTCGGTATTGATGAGCTCATGAATACTCTCCTGTCGATGTCTTTCCATCGGTGCTGTACACTCTAACAGATGTTGATCTTTGGTCCCTGGAGAATAAATAAGAACATCAACATCTAGACTTGATTAATTGGCCATTAATTGGTCAAGGTGTTGAAAGGGTTCCCGTTAAGGGAGACAAGAGATTTATCTAGATTGTTCTTTTTGCAATTAAATTTAAAGTTTAAAAATTTGATCCAAAAGTCACTGTCATATATTGAGGTATTTTTGTTCAATTCCCATGTTCAATTTGAAAATTTAATGAAGATTTGGAATTCAAAGCTAACATGTACAGTTCCATCCCTGTAACACAATGCTACTATCATAAGGAAACATCCTTAAAACTTCAGGTTGAAAGAACTATTGTTTTTTAAAAAGTACAACCGATGTCAAAGTCACTGATCTGATGTCATTTCAGGGGGGGGGGGGCCTTTTATAACAGCAGTCTGCATGGTTTATGCTAGCATGGATCTAAGCGGTATATGGCAGCCAATCAATGAGCAAACTGAATCTTAGTTCTTTGATGGAATCAGCTGACATTGGTACAGTGGCACTCTTCTCATCCTCTGCCTTCACAAGTCAGGTTCAAATCCCATCCATGCTGACATGTGGACTGGGTTTTCGGCCCCTAGCAGATTTCCTGGGTTTTAAACTGGTGAGGGATTGTGGCAATGTAATGAAAGAAAATTTCTATTGGGAAAATGGCTGGTTCTGAAAAGAAAGGGGTCCACTCTGTGATGGACCTGTATCCAGTCACACAACCATCTGTTATCAGCGTGTCTTTCTACATGGGTCCACACAGAGACGGTCCAGTGTCTAGTCACACACCCATCTGTTATTGGCCTGTCCTTCTATGTGGGTCCACTGAGAGAGAGATTGTCATTCATATTGTTTACCACAAACCCTCACCAATTTATACCATATAAGATTTAAAATCTTATCAGTGGGGCTCTTCCCAGCTCTGGGGTTGAGCTTTTTTTAATCATCTCTGAGTTTCCAAACTACACTGCCCAAACATTTTGAAAGGGATCCTAGGCTTTGCTTGCAAAAGGAATTGAAATTTAATACATGATTTACACAGGCTAGTTAAAATGAGCAGTATCACGTAAAACTGTGAAAGGGGACCAAGGAATACTTGCACCTTACATTTCAAAAGCGTCCTCCATAAGTGTGTATGACTAACTACTAAAATCACTACATACAACATGGTTTCAACCGACCAGGTTTATTAATACTTTGATATTAATTTTGAATAAATGCTTAACAGTTAAATACACATTCTAAAATGATTATTACCGGTACATGCAACTGATGATAAAAACATGTAAGATCGTGATTTGCTTAGCATGAATGTGGTAAGTACTTACGCATATTAAGCCAAGAATCTGGCATCTGATCGTTGAACTTTATCAATTGTATAAATTATTTTAGTTTTTTTTCCCAGTTTGACTGTTGATGTTTTGCGTGATTATTTTGCTTGAGAAGAATAACCAGGATGACTCTTTTCTTGCTGATATTAATGATAAATTATGAAAGCCAATCTTTGGTTACCATCACAACATGGCTTTTTTCCAACTTTTTAACTAACACGCTTCAGCTAACATCGTTTTCAGAATGAGGCATTTTTGGTAGGGCAGGAACAACTGGGTCAAGGGTCGCCCATTACAAGTTTTACTGGGGGAAGGACGATATTGACACTGCATCAAAGTCTTAAGGACGGACAAAATCATTGCCACATTTACAAAGATACATTGTGGGAACTTTACCCCAAAGACACTCTCCTGGCCAATGAATAAATGATACAATCCAACCAATGTGGGTTTATCATCGTTAGCTAGAAACCTTTCACAATCAACTTGGCTTTACAGCAAAACTCATCTCTACATCTCACACAAATTAGACAAAAAGTCAGCTGCTATGACAAACTATTTGAACAGGCTACATGTACTTGAAAATTGCTTAGAGTGTGTACAGCAAGCAGAGAGTTTCAGCCTTTGTGTCAATCTTAGATAAGCTGTGGAGGGCTCGTGGGGATAACCTTTCCCAGTCTACCCTAATCCTACAATGAATGATCTCTGTCTAAAAAACTCCAAACTTCACAATTGAAACTCATGTTTTCTTGCATCGCCGTGAGAACAGGCTCAACGTAATACAAATGGTTTATTTAAGATTCATATGAAGAGGATGGAGAATGTTCAGCTTCCACTCAAGACAGAATCTCTCATCTTGTTGACGTTTTCACTAATTTTGTGGCAGTCAGATACAATGATAAACGTGATGATTACAATTTGCAGACACAGTCAATCTAATGCTATGTAGATGTACACAAGGCCAATGAACATTGTACCACAAAAGTTGAATTTGGCAAAATATCAATGCACCTGTCAGTCAAACTTCATTTCAAAATTTGATTATTTCTGTTTCCAAAAGAATCAATTTTACACTTGACTCTAAAGTTCCTTCCGGCAATAACAATTTAAGTTTATAAATTAAAAAAAAGAAACAAACCACCAACCAAAACAAATTTCAGGTTTCCTGACAGGTTTTTTAGCAAATCGACTGGGTACAGAATGGTGGGTACAGGATTTAATTATTCTAAATTGAATGACTGAACATTGAAAAGTTACTCATTTTACTTGAAACAAATAAATTCGTGTTCAGAGCTCGTTTAATTTGTAACCATTTCAGACACTTCATAGGTTTGATCCAAAGCACAATTCTGCCATTGAAAATTGTCTGTCACTGCCATGGAGCAAGACTTGCTCCTTAGCTGAGTCATCTTTGGAATAAACATTGCCAATGATGTACAAGCATTGAGGGCAGGGATTCATCTCTTAGAAGAAACGAATCTGGATCATTTCATTTTTTCCCCCCTTGCCTCAGAATTTCTCTGAGAGAAGAGTCGTTTTGTGATTATTCTTTAGCAATTGTATCGATAAGATTTATTACGAATTAAACCGATTAACTATCATCAGTATTGTCTCAATGAGTTTAAAGCTAATGATGCTGCTTCTCAAATTAAAACAATAACAAAAAGAAAAAAAATGTGCACGTTCACAGAGAATTGAAATGCTCAATAACACTTTCATGCTTCAAAGTTAACGTTGCTGGCTTTATCGTACTGTGAACGTCTCTCAAGTTTCCCCCCCCAGTGTCTTCACTACCTAAGTTACCTCTCAATCAGACACCCTTTAAAGATACAAATACCTCACTTTGTTAATTTCTAGAGATTATGGAAGTTATCTTCATTCTAGTCTATGAACAGAGATACAGAAGTTGTATAATACCCTGTTACGTGTAGAAAATATGTCATTTCAGTGGTAAATTTGTGACTTTTTGGTCAAATAAAAGTTCAAAAGTCGTCAAAATCCAGTAAATAACTGGACAATGTCTGAGTTTTTTCCCAAAAGCGATCACCAGACATATCAAATAATTTGCTAAAACGTACAATATAGAAGGTCTTCTGGACACAGTTTTGAATGTGATGGAAAACCTACATGAAAACTTCTTTTGTAACAACATGAACCTAAAAAACTCATTTGTAGCACCAAAAAATAAAAACACTGAGATAATTCAATGTTAAAAAAAATTATGTAAAGACTTAATTCACACTAGAAACAATGAGTGGATATCTGTCCTTGTTTGTTAAAAGACAGAAATAAGTAAACTAGACTGGTGGCAGTATTTTGACTTTTCTTTCCTCATAGACATCAATTACACATGTACATACAAGTACATTGGACTTTTCTTTGTATGCAATTGACGTGAGTATAACGTTGCCACATGACAGTGTCCTGGGTACTGGCTCTCTACTTTCTGTCAAAGTCTGCGTGTTTTACTTGCAGTCAGTTGTTCATCTTCACTTGTCCTAATGTCCTCAATCCCTCACCTGTTACTGGATTGAGGATTGTTAGGGCTACATGTCATTCTATAAATTAGGGGTCCATTTCTTCAAATGGATGTTTACACTGAAAAAAAATGAGCCGTGCTGAACTTAAGGGTCAAGCCAAGAGTTCAAAAACACTCATTGGCATCCCTGACTTCTCATTAGCAGGCAAACTAGAGTAGCAAACCACACTCAAGCTCAGCACAACATATGCAGCTGCTCGGACCTTAACACTTTTTTTAATACATTCACAATGCCAGGAATCCCATTCATATTTCCAACCAACCAAAATTCCGCATTGGAGAGATGCATTCTATGCTAAAACCAGTTGAGCAGATTTAACCAGTAAGTTGCAATAGGCAATGCTTTACAACACCAACTCTGTGAGCGCAAGGAATAAATCAACGGTGCTTTCCATCATTGCTAATTCCATTTGTTGGCTCAGCCATCTCACAAATATCCCGTGCTGTTTCAGAATGTAGAAGGCGATATTTCTTAGACTTAGCAGCAATGACTCGGTAAGCAGTATATATTGAGTTTTGCACAAACACAGCACATGAGTGACACATTGAGTTACAGACTTGCAAAGGGCACATTGCTCACTAGACAGAGCAACTCTACTCTAATACAAAAGATGAGATTCCAGCAACAAGATCTGATGAATTTGTCAGCCGTTTGGCAGATGACTAAACTTCTTGTAAAACTTTTAAAACTAAAACGTTTGGAGAAAAAAATAATTACTCGGTTGTTTTTCCCCAAAATAATGGGCTTTAAAAACTTACTTTTAATACTAAAGAAAGGACAGATAGCAACAATAAACATTTTCAAAAGAGAAATGGAGCTGATTTTGAGAAGGGAAAATGACTGAGTGGTATAATAAAGCTTCTCCTAACTTGATAGCATTCCACAAATACTCAAAATCCTTGACATAATAAATATATATGCATCTATACATGGATCCCAATTAATTAATATATAATTTATCTTCCCCTCTTTAAAACAGCCTTTCCCAATGGAAGATGAAATCTGGCAGTGGGTCGTTCAGAGCACAGCATGCAAGAAATCTGTCTGGTGCTTTGGTAATTTTGTAGTTTTCTTGAGTTGGAAGCACCAAACAGGGAAAGAGTAACCATTTTAACCCAGACTACACTCTGAAATAATGAGTTGATAGTACAGACCTGCATACAAGCAGCTTGCTGTTGAAAGACCCACTACCTAACTCCACTAGTTCTTTCGTTTCAAAACCATCACAGATGTTTTAAGGGGTAGCATGCGTCAAGACACACAGAGAATACAGAATTGTTTCGACAACAAGAAAGGACACCATCTTTTCGCTGAGTTACTGGGATTTTTTTGTGTTTAACTCCAGCTTGCATAGTCATGACAACCAAGTTTCCATGGTAATCCGACAATCTTGCTTGGTTTGGGTGTGGTAGTGGGTCTTTCACGCAAGCCTATGCAGCAAGTCAAATTTCTGAAGAGCGAAAAGAAGAATTGACAAGCGGTCAGAAATGGCCGGCAGAGTCTTTTTTTCAGGAAAGTAGGTAGATGCATAGTTAAAGAAAACAAAATCAAGCCCAACTTTGCAAAACTTAACATGAAAATGATGTAGACACTAGGAAATCTACAGAACAGCAACACATTTTTTAATGCTGATCACGAGATTGAGTAAAAGCAAATAAAAGGGTATGATGTGCAGATGGCTGTAACATTCAGGTGACCTCATAGACAGGTGGATACTAAAGAGAGACAGGACAAGTAGCCATAATGGGCAGGTGGGACATGCAGAGATGCCACAGGCTCTGCTCAAAATCCTGGAACATTTGAATCCTGGCAAGGAACATTCAAGCGCATGACCAAGTGCAGTGAGCAGATTGCATAACGACAGGGGTTCTCTTCCTTTATAACCACGTCCAGTTCCACTTTTCATGTTTGATTTGATGGTTTTAAGTTGTTCCCTCTATCTAACATTCTACATTTTTTCCTATTTTGACGAATCTGTTGCATGAAGCAATATACATTGCAGCATACAGTTGCAGACATTGATCTGCGGCGCAGCCTGCCAAAACACACCATGATGATGTCGTTGGTTTCCGACTTGTTGTGTACAATATTCCTATTCATACAACCACTGTGATCGGGAACCACTGACTGAGATGATAGGCTTGAATTCAAGGCTGTGTGATAGGTGTGCTCAGCACAATGTCGCGTGACACGGCGCGGTGCAGGCAGCAAGCACAAATGGACACACACACCCCCTCACGAGGTGCGTGTTCAGGCAGATCACTGCACTGTGCACTACTTGGTACATGTGGCGTTGCTGGATCTCCAGTCGTTTTGACAATCATGCAGACGAAGGCGGTCTTGTTTTTAAGGCTACTACAGGGAAAGAGCTGTACCCATGCATGCCGTGCGTGACCGTCACTCAACTGGAATTTATAGAGGTGAAATTCAATGCATTCATGTATGTTTTCTTTTCTGACCTTTTCTTTTGAGCCAGAACGGAAAAAAAGGAAAAATGGAATTTTGCCTGTCTTTTTAATAAAAATTCAGATAAAATCGGAAAAGTGGCATCTCTGGACATGTCGCCACTATACACAGGTTGAGCAGGTGGCCACAATGGGCAGGTGGCCGTAATGGACAGGTGGCCATAATGGACAAGTGGCCATAATGGATAGGTGGCCATAATGTAGAGGTGGCTGTAATGAACAGGTGGCCGTAATGGACAGGTAGCCACTATACAGATGGTAGTAATGAATGCAACAGTGAGTGCAGACCTCAGCTACAATGATCAAAGGCTACTCACAGTTTACTTTACTGGTGTGGCCTGCATCGCTGAGTTCCTGTACGTAATTGGCTGGGAAGACTCCAGTTAGCCCGTTAAGTTCCCCCTTCCACCAATCCTTGTCCTCCTTACTAACCACATTGATAACCATCCCCTTCTGAAAGGACAACTCGTCATCGTTCTGCTTGACATATGGGTACAGGGTGACTACCTGACACGCTGGCAAGAAAATATAACAACCATTCCTTAAGGTGTACAGTCAAAAGGGATGGCAATAGCAAAGAAAGTTGAACAAAATATTCTTCACAGGCAATTTCCTTTTAGAGCAAAATGGTTCTCTTCTGTTTTTATATGGCAAAGTTTTCTAATCTCACGCTAAGAAGTACACATATCTGTGAAGATGATAAAGACATGTAAAGCTGGGTGGACTTGATTTGTACATCTTTATGAGCTCTTCCATTTACATCTTCTGGGTTTTTCACCATCACCACAAAACTCTCCCAGTGAAAACGGCTCCAACTTACCTCCATCAAGCGTTGGTGTTGTGGGCGTGGTGGCTCTTTCCGTCCCCTGGAAGGTCAAAATAAAGAACACTTAAAATCACAGCTGGCAGGCCTGAGGAAAATGAGCAAACATCCTCAGTTCATGTGAAGCAAACTCCCTCCAGTAGGGAGCTGATTTCAGTAGAGCACTGAGCACTCGTAATATTTGCTTAGGCCCCCCCCCAAGTTACCAGTCAAAATGGCATCCAGTGTGTGCTACTTGCAACTGGTTTCCTGGCTGATTTCTGCTGAACAATATTTTTCTACTAAGCAGCTCATGAAACTTTATTAAAAACTGCCAAAAAGGAACGACGCCAATCAAAATTTCGAACTGACAGACGAGACAGAAAGACAATGTTCAATCAGAGCTGTTTGACATCAGTTTGTTCTGCCGGTTACATTAACTCAGGTACCAGGAGTCTGTTGAGCATACAAACCACCATGCCCAAGATCAAAATAGAAAATATCTTTTACAATTTGATGGTTTTTGCAAACAAACCTGGGTGGGTACAGTCATCGACCCTTGGCTGGGTGACTGTTCAGTTGGCGTGGAGGCACCGGTAGCCGGTGCACTGCCACCACTACTCATCATTTGCACGTAGTTGGCAGGGAACCAACCAATTTGTTTCTTCTTGCCGCGTGCCTGAAGAAGAGAAAAGGGCAATAAAATCTGAAACTGACCAATCATCTCAGGTTTCCAATTTGAACAAATCATCCTTGGAAAGTGAAGGTGTCTTTTGTTGAATATTTCAGCCAAATGAACGGATAAACAAAGCT